CCAAAAGCGGGACGTCTGGTCACCTTAACATAATACGAATTCCAGAAAGAGAAGACAGGAAACGAAGTCCAGACAATATTTTTGAAAAAATAATCACAGAAAATGTCCCAAATATGGAAGATGAGATTATCATCCAAAATGCTTAATGAGCTCCATATAGGCTAAACCCCAAGAGAAACACCACAAGACACATCATAATCAAACTCACCAAGTACAAAGATACAGGAAGATTTTTGAGAGAAGCACAGGATAAAGGAACTGTCACTTTCAAAGGAACACCAATAAGATTAAGTGCTGATTTCTCACCAGCAACTACGCAGGCAAGAAGGCATTGGAGTGACATATACAAAGTTTTTAACGAAAATAATTGTCAACCAGAAATAAGGTATCTAGCAAAATTATCATTCAAAAATGAGGATGAAATTTGGATTTTCCCAGATAAACAGAAATTAAGGGAAATATAAACACCAGACCAGTCCTTCAAGAATTATAAACAGGGTTCTTTACGAAGAAAACATGATACCAGCCCAACTATACAAAGTGCTGACACTAAATGACCACCTGAATATATATATAATAAAATACATTTAAAATGAGATGAGGGATCTGGGCTACACAATTGACAATAAATTGACAATAAATAAAAAATGTTAAGAAAATTAAAAAATAAAATGGAGATGATTGGCATAGATAAGAGAACTTACAGGTGTACAAGGGAATGTAAATGATTTGGTAATAAAAATGATCAAATAATAATAATAACAGAGGAAAAATATATATTCCTAAAGAGAATTCAGCTTTGAAGATAGAGAACAAAGGAGTGAGGGTGGGGCAAACGTTTAACTAAATATTTGAAGTAAATTTTTCTCTACTGATAATTAATTGTAGTTAATATAAAAGTATTCAATATTCTAGCCAACAAACAGCAGTAGACTGGACTAAAAATATGTCTATATGACAAGGGCCACACTATAAGCACAGGTACATAAACAGATTAGGTGTGTGTGTGTGTCGGTGGGTGGTGGTGGGGGGGAGGGTAGACACTTGACATACAAGTAAGCAATAATACAAAGTGAACAGGAGTGGTAATATTAATATATGACAATAACTTTTAAGTCAAATTTTATTATGAGACAAAGAAGGTACCACTTTTTGATGATGGAAGGAATAATTTTAAAAGGGAATAAAGAAAAAAAAGGGGGAATAAAGAAACAGAAGACCTGCATAATATTAATCATATGGGCTTAACAGACATACAGCACACCATTCAACAGTAGCATGGTACACTCTACTTTGTTGCATATGGGTTTGGTATAGGCATTTTCAGACACAAAGCTTTGGTAACTTTAAAAAGATTGAAACCATATAAAGCATCTAATCTGACCATAATCGAATGAAGCTTCAAGTCAATAACAAAAATAAGGAAAGCTAAATAAATTTATGCCAACTTGAACACTATTAACACCATTGGATCATCAAAGAAAAAAAATACTTAGACTCTTAAGAATGTAGTCAAAGAATTAAAAATAATTAATTTTATTAATTCTTTTTTTTAATCATTTATTGGGGGCTCATACAACTCTTATCACAATCCATCCATCCATCGATTGGGTCAAGCACATTTGTACACATGTTGCCATCATCATTCTCAAAACATTTGCTTTCTACTTGAGCCCTTGGTATCAGCTCATTTTTCCCCTCCCTCCCAATCTTAATTCTCGATCCTATTACACATCATTTTAGTAGCCTATGTGACAAATTGGGAGGGACATTTAATGTGCTTTACTGTAGACCCAATATGATGGTTTAATTGCAGAAAGAACTTTGAGATTGAGCTCAAAGTGAGTTGGCAATAGGGTGATATTACCACTTTATTCACAGACTATTTTTGTTGAAAGAATGAGTAACAGACAGGTGATGGATATTTAAACAGAGTCATTTGGCGGACATTTTCTAAAATAAATTGCCTGTTACTTCAAATGAACAACTGGCAGTGTTCGTTGCCATGACAAAATGTAAGTAAGTGTCTGTGCAGAAATTAGGGTTATGGAGAACCTCTTTCCTGCCACTAGCTTTTCTTCAGTTGAGTTAGACGGTGACATTTACATGTGAACTTTTTGAATAATAGCATGTGCCAACATTTAGAAGTTATGCAGAATGCATTACTTAGTGAACCAACATCTTCCAAGTGATGTTACTAAAAATCCATTATAAGTGAAAAACAGTCCAGTTGATTTTAATGTAATAGTATATAAAAAAAAGTACTGATGAGACTATAATTTGTAAAGTTTGGGTGTTATGTCAAAGAAGTTACCTGAAATTATATCAAAATCTTCTTCTCCTTTACTAAAAAACATTCCCTGAAGTCGTCTTAAAGTTAGTCTGCCTCTGGGTGTATAAGCAAATGTGGTGAAGAAAGCTGATGGTGCCTGGCTATCAAACGATATAGCGTCTGGGGTCTTAAAGGCTTGAAGGTAAACAAACGGCCATCTAGCTCAGAAGCAACAAAGCCCACATGGAAGAAGCACACCAGCCTGCATGATCACGAGGTGCCGAAGGGATCAGGTATCAGGCATCAAAGACCCAGAACAAAAAAATCATATCATTGTGAATGTGGGGGAGGGTGGAGTGGAGACCCAAAGCCCATCTGTAGACAACTGGACATCCCCTTACAAAAGGGTCACAAGGAAGAGATGAGCCAGTCAGGGTGAAGTATAGCACCAATGAAACATACACCTTTCCTCTGGTTCTTTAATGCTTCCTCCCCTCCACTATTATGACCTCAATTCTATCTTACAAATCTGGCTAGACCAGAGCATGCACACTGGTACAGATAAGAGCTGGAAACACAGGGAATCCAGGACAGATAAACCTCTCAGGACCAATCATAAGAGTAGTGATACCAGGAGGGTAAGGGGAATTTGGGGGGAGGAAGGGGGAACCAATCACAATGATCGATATATAACCCCATCTTGGGGACAAACAGAAAAGTGGG